ACTGAGATCATTCCTATTATTATCTCATATTTTATCCTATTTCATACCTTCCTTCTCCACTGCACAATGTCCAAACTTTCACTTTTGTGTGGCCATGGGAATAGACATATGACACCCCTTCTAACATGTGAGACCTCAGTGTTCTGTTTGCCACTGCAAGAAGAGAAATGAGAAGCAGTGAGTCCAAAACAGCATTCTCCGGTATTCCTATAATTTTACAAGTGGAAAAAAATTGCTGAGACCATCTTTGGTAAAACCTGGATCTTGAATAGAAATCTCTGAGAAATGTGACAAAATAAATTTCTGTCATTTAAGAGTCCTGGTCTTTCATATTCTACTATGGCATCTCTTGGGACCTAAATAAGTATAAATAAAACAATTATTCAAACTGGCTCAAATAAAGATTGTTATTATAAAGGTAAAATATAAATCTATAGAGTGGAAGCAAAGCTTGTTTTCATAAAACAATACTTTTAGGAAAGTGGCAACATACATTTTCCTCAGGTTAAACATAATTTCTTTTGCTTTGTTTTCACTGTGACTGTCTGTTTTGTTTTCTGTTCATATTAAGTTATACTCTATTGCCTTGTTGGCCAAGGTTTAAATAGCCAAACATAATCAGCTTTAAAAATCTTAGGCAGGATTTTTAAAAAGGATTTTTAAAACATTTAAACACTTGCAGATCTTTTGTAAGAACTAGAACCAAGAACACTGAAAACTACCAGACTTCCACAAAATCAAGAAGTTTCAGGAGTCACTGAAAAACTGTTCCTTTTGCCTCAGCTCACTTGAATTCTGAAGTGTTTGATTAACTGAAGATGATAGAAGCTACTAAAATTTATTATATGCTATATCCAAATTTTTTTCCTGTAGAAATTATTGTTTTTCTTATATATCTATAATCTAAATCTCATGTGCTTTCTTCCAATTGGCAGAAGCTGGGAAATATGTTTGCAAAAATATATTTTTCTAGATTTTAACATATGATGATGGAAATCATTTATAGGTATTCAATTTAACTTTCCTATTCAAATGTTCTTCTTATCAATCAAATGATAGTGAGTACAAATGATACCTAACACATCATGTGCTTCAGCAAAGGCTCTCTGCAGCCAGAAACTCCCAGCCACCAAAGATGGTCTCAGCAACATTTTTCTGCTTGTAAAATTATAAGAATACCCCCAGAATGCTGTTTTGGACACACTGCTTCTCATTTCTACTCTTGCAATGGCAAACAGAACCCTGAAACATCACCCAGGATTTGGAGGCAGATTTATTTATGTTGACAGGCATTGACAAAGAATCAATCTGTATAAAAATGTCAGGCCCTAATGCTTGGTAGTTTTGAGCTTATATGGGATAAGCAAGAAGAAAGTACAGAAGCAGAGTATTTGATGGTTATTGATTGGTTCTTGCAATACACATCATAGTGACTAGCTAAGGATCACAGTGACCACCCATTTCTCAGAAACAGAAGTAACAGGAGCTGTAACAGGAACTGTTACCTGGACAACTAACAGAAACTGGAATAAACTGGCTAGCGGGGCATTTTCTGCTACACTCCCCTCCTCTTGTAGTTTACATGGCAAATGTTTGCTGAGCATGTTACATGTAATCTTCTGAGAAAAGTTCCCAAGAAGAAGCGGTAACATTAGGGCACTCAGCAGTCGTAGGACGGGCCCTAGCCAAGGTCTCCAAGATTGGAAAGTTCCATCAGTCTGTGGTTTGTTTTTTCATTATAGGTTCTCTCCCTAAGTTGCTTTTAAGAAGTGAAATACTTACCCCTTACTGGCCATGATTTACTACTACTCTGTCAAAGGAGTGAGGGTGTTAATCTTATTTCGGAGAGTATACAATGTATCCTGGATGCTCATTAAAGCTTGGTAAAGTGTTTGACTATTTGTAGCTTCTATTTCTTGGGGCAATTCTCCATAGAACTTGACAAAATCTTCAGCTAGCCAGACAGCAGGGAGCAACAAATACACAAGCAAGCTAAAATGAAAGGAAGGATCATGGTATACAGCCTGAAAAACACAGAAAAAAGGGGACTAATGCATTTAGGTATGCAGCAATCCTGTTAAAGGTGTCCTCAAGTTTCAGCTGTGCACAAACTGGTCAGAATGAAGAGTGACCAGACAGGGCTTTGAGTGAGTTGTCTCTTCAAAGTGAGCCTCAGAGATGTCTGGTCAAAGTAAATGCTGCATCAATTGTCTGGATGGGCTTTTTTAATTCTGGAATGGTGGATCTAAAGCTGGATTTCTGAAACATATAGAGGCACTTAATATGCACCTGGATTATATGTGTGTGCAAGAGTGTCTACAGGTATGGCTGAACTTTCAGCTAAATTTGTATAAAACCAGTTATAGTCTGTTCCTGCAGGGTTATGTTTTTATTTCTTTAACTCTTTTAGGGCTTTGTGGCCAATATGTTGTATGTCTACAAATGTAGGCCCATTATCACAGCAGGATTCTACAAACTTCTGTTGTCTTCTTAGTGTAGGTAAGGAATGGCTTAGGCCTGCCTGAACAGGTGCATAAAAGCACCAATAGGTATCTGGAGCTCTTATAAGGCTTTACTTCAGTGTTTTTAAAGGGTGACATTTCAGTCAATTGGATGGTCATAGGGCTCTGAACTGGATTATTTTGAGTGCAGGTTTTGCAGCATTGGAAGACAATGGGGAAGATGCTGGCCAGGCCTGGGATTGCTTTTTCCTTTGTGGCTCAGGATGTTTTATTTTGGTGGTTTTCCAAACTGCAGGAGAAAGCAGTAGACCTTTTCATTTTCAGAGTAATTGTGGGCCTACCTGAGAGTTAAGTGTTTAGTTGATTGTGCAGACCATCCTTATGGGAGAGCCTCAGCCAGAATAACTTTGTACAAGGTGATGACAGCATATCCAGTCTGTCGGACTCCATTCATAAAGGAGCTACCTCCATCCATAAACAGGGTATACTCAGCATCTGTCAGGGGGTTCACTTTAATTCTCCTCAGTTTAAGAACAGTTCATCAGTTGGTGCCAGGCAGTTATGGTTGATGGGCCCAGCTTGGTGGGCAGGATTGAGTTTATTGAGGTCCAGCACAGCATGTGGCACCAGGACAGTTAGATTTTGGCTTAAGGTGAGCATGTCAGTCTTTTGATCAGCAGGATAGTGGCTGCTGGAGCATGGAAGAAAAGGAGGGAGGCAGCCCTTAGTGACTGGATCCAAGTGTTTGTACAGGCAGGCCACTTGATGCTCCCAGGGGCTGGCACTCTGAGTAAATATTTTTAAAACTACATATCATCATTTATCAACAAACAAGTTGAATTTCACTTATATCTGGAATACCCAAGGTTAGTCCTTAGAGAGGGCCTTTTATTTTGTTTGTTTGTTCGCAGATTTGTGTTTTTCCCATGATACCTTATAGCCAGTTTCTGCCAGATATTGCAGCAGATCTTTTGTGTACTTCCAGTAGACAACCTGAGTGGTATCAATCAGACAATTTTGTCCTGGGAAACTAGTGAGGTCAGTTGTGAGGGCTTCTCCAAAGATGATGAAGAAGTTTTTGAACCTCTGAGAGGTTGAGGCCAGATCAGTTAATTTTGAGTTCAGAACTGGGGCCTTTCCATTTAAAGGCAGAGAGTGATTGACTGAGGGGAGCCAATCAAAGGCAGAAAACATTCTTTAAGTCAAGGCAGATGTACTAGCAGGCTATGGGTGACAGCAGGATGGAGGGCAACCCTGGCAGCATTGACAGCTTGGAGATCCTGAACTGACTTTATAGGAAGGATAGGTATATTTCAGCAATTTGACAGTCTATAAACATTTTGTGGTTTTTGAAGCCTCATTCTTTCCTCAGGGGAGTATGACAGCAATCAAGAAATGTGGTTGAGCTGGAAGGGACAGAGAAACAGGCTGCCCCAAAGTAAATGTGCTGGTGGCTTGGAAAATCTATGGCTAGATCCTCCCTGTAAATAATGGGAGAGTTCCCAAAACGTGGCAATTGAATAAGGGTGCATGGGTTGGAAACTGCAGAATGCAAGGTGATGGCTGTGTTGTTGATGGCATGGGGATCTTGCATTTGCTGACAATCTCCACTGGGCATTTTTATAGGAAGGAGAAGAGTGTTCCAAGATGACTGACAGTCTGTTAGGATCCTGAGCTGCTTTAGGCAGCTGGTGTGTGAATGGATGCCTGCTTATGCTTTCTGTGATGTAGGATATAGGAGCATGGTTGATAGCCAGGGCAAGAGGTGAGTCTTTTGCTTATACCTGTGGGAGGAAAGTTTTCAGAATTTCAGGATTTTGATCATCTGTCTCAAGCTGATGCAGGCATCATTCTTCCTGTTGAGGAACAGTCCAAAACAAGAAATGAGAGGGAGGCTGACTGGCTTGGTGACAGGAATTCACATGTGTTAAGATGTCAGGCTGCAAGATCTTGCCTGGCAGGAGTGAGAGGCAAAAGTCTCAGTTGTCCCAATGGTGGTGACATTTTTCTGACAGAGGGGATTTTTGGAAGTTATAAGTTGATCCCCAGTACAGATGTGAACAGTGGGATCCCAGTGACCCAGCTGAAGCATAGAAGCCAGTCTGGCCTAGTCGGAGCCCATCAGACTTATGTAAAGGTTGTCATCTTGTCGTGGCTGAAGCTTTTAAGAGTTCTAATATTTAAGTCTCAATGAGCATTTAATTTTTAATGTCCATAGCCCTTCAAACTTGTATATTGGTTTTTGACCAGAAGATATAGTCATCTCAGATTAGATTTTCTTGTTGTTATCAGGTGCTTTTGTGTATTACAGGATGTACTTATCATCTGTAGATTTTCAGAGGCTTTAGGGTCAAAGGGATTTAGACCCTGTATACTTCATAGAGTCTCATAAAAACCTGAAGGGCTTTATCAGGCTTCTGGGTAACCATAGTAAATTTACTGTGTTGATGGGCATTTGCTCCCCTCTATGATGTCACTGAGAGGTGCTTACATAAATTGCTGTTTCTTGTTGCTGGCTGGAAAGCTGCAGTGGCATTTGCCAAGGCAGAGTTCTCAGGTCTTTGTTCAGGCTTTGGTGGCAGCAGCTTCAGTGAGTCTTGCAGCAGCTTGATTTCATTTTAACTCTGTAATCATCAGAAAAGCCCTTTCAAAATTCTTGTACCTGCTGTCGAAGAGTATTGATTTTGACTAATTCATTCCCATTTCTTTTTTTGTTTTGTTTTGTTTTTTGTTTTTTTCCTGTACCGGGAATCAAACTCACGACCTTGCACTTGCCAGGTAGGTGCTGTGCCACTGAGCTAAATCCCCAGCCCTCATTCCCATTTCTAACTTCCTATTTGTGTATTTGTACCCTTGAATGATGGCACAACAGACAATGTGTGGGTGCCCCTCAGATAGACAGAACATTCAGATGGCTGCCTGACCAATTGCTTCTTGGCAATGTTGGGACCATCCAGACTAAAAAGAAGCATCACTAATCTCTCTGTTTTGTCCTTATTAGATGTATCCACAGAACCACAGGTTGAGGCCCAACTATTACAAACACTTACAAAATCATTCGACTGGCCTTCAGAGGTTAAACATTCTAACCTCCATCCCTTGAAGGTGGCCTTGACTAAAGAAAGTTGATCAGGAGGTCCTTCTCCTTGAGCTGAGGACTGACAGACTAACTGGGGTACCCCTAGTGGCCTTACTTTATCTGATGACCAGACCAGAGTGCGTCCTTCTTCAATTTGGGTCCAGTGTGAGCCACTCAAATGGGGAGCTGGGAATCTTCTTCCAGACTTCCGAGGGGACTCAAAATATCTCAAGGGCACACGTTCCCATCAGGACCTGGAGAGGTCCTACTCCGTCCACCAAGGCCATGACCAGTGAAAAAAGATCAGCACAGTTGGTCTTCCCAGATGCTGTACCAGATGCTATGGCAAACAAAAACACTGAAATGTCACCCAGGATTTGGAGGCAGATTTATTTATGTTGACAGGCACTGACAAGGAATCAATCTTTCTAAAAATGTCAGAACCTGATCCTTGGTAGTTTGGGGTTTATATGGGACAAGCAAGCAGGAAGTATAGAAGCAGAGTATTTGGTGGTTATTGATTGGTTCTTACAATATGCATCACAGTGACCAGCCATTTCTAAGAAACAGAAGTAACATGAACAGAAGCAGCAGGAACAGTAACAGGAACTGTTACTCGGGAGACTAACAGAAAATGAAATACAGTGGCTAGGAGGGGGCATTTTCTTCTACACTCAAATATGCCAAACCTCATCTCTAACTTTTTATTTAAAAAAATCATAAAAATCTATTACACTGCCCTTCTTTGCTGTTATTATGACACACCATACAAATCCTGGGACCACTCAATCATCCTTCATGCCTCAACATTAAGCCTTTCTATAATTCTTTGGTTTGGTTTGTATTGGAAGAAACCTTCTGAAACAACTTCCAATATGTCAGCTCTGATTATAAGTGTGACCTACCTGGCCACTTGCCTCTTGGTAATGTTGCGACCATCTGGACTAAGGAGAAGCATCCCTGGGTTCTCTATTTTGTCCTTATTGGAGGCATCCACAGAATCACAGTTTTGAGGCCCATTCACTACAAACACTTACATAATCATTCAATTTATAATTATCTGACTCTCATATTCTTTGTCTTCTTCAAAGTAATTTTCTCAGATTCCAGATTAAATAATATTTCAGTAACCTTTATAAACTAAATTAAGTCTGATGATTATATAACTTAAAATGAAACTATACATGTACAAAATAGTCACTATATATAAAAATATTATTGAGAATGTGAAGAAATCATATAAAGCCAAGTTGGCAATGGAGCAGTATTTAGGGGAAAAAGATAATGTTAAATATTATCAAGACAATTTTCCATTAAAGGAGTTTTTTTAAACAATAATTTTCATAAGATTAAGAAAAACACAAACAGTTCTTAAGAGAGAAAACTTGAAAAATATTGGAATATTTATGGAAAGACTACTTTCTAAAAACTTTCAAATTTAGAAATTGAAAAAATACAGAAAACCCAAAAAGTATAAAGTTTTGCCCATGAATGATGATAAAGACAAACATGAAAGAAGAAAAAGGGAAAATTCAACTGTAAAATATTTGTATCAATCGAATGAAGTCTGTGTAAGTCTTACAAATATACTTTGGAAAAAAAGAATATACTGAATTCATGGTAGCTCGCCATCTGCTCACATAGCCAAATCTTTTCTCCTCCTTTATGGAAAGAAGCACAAGTTAATCATTTTTGTTTTCATACGGCCTCACACTAAGGTTGCACCCATTAATATTTAAGAATCTTATTGAAGAAATGAACATACTAATTACTATTATGTACCCTATGGTGGAAGTAATATCTATTCTTGATTCCATAACACCTGACATTAAATCACTCCTCTCTTTAAAATAATATTTTCTTTCAGAGGTTGGATGATTTTCAGATGAAAACTGGAATCCACCTCTCAAATGTCAACACTTTCTAATATTACATGAAATAAAGCAGATTGATAAAGGCACAGATGTGATATTTACACCTTGGAAAATGAAGGTAGACTTGGGCATTTGAGAAGTCCTCTGTTTGAAAGATTTCTAATGAGTTTTCAAAAAATACATATGACTACTTTTAACATTTCAGGAAATAATAAATGTAATGCTGTACAAATAAATATAGATATTGAGCAGGTTCAAGATCATAGTTATCATAGGAAAATTTATATAAAAACATAAAATGTTGGAAGATGATTACTAAATTTAGTGTTTAATATTATTTGCTGTGGATTGTGGAAAGTATGAAAAAATCCTACACTTAGGTTTGCAAAGGCAATTTGAAACGTATTGTTTCCACATGTGGAAAACTTATATTAACGGTCAAATAGATGATCATACTAATAATAGAATTAATGATAGTTACAGAAATTTAAAATGATTCTATACATTGTATATTGAAAGTAATAGAAAAAAATGAGATGAACATATTTATTGTGGCTTGTATGTGGGTGTCATCCAAAGCCTCATGTAGCCAGAGGTGAAACTTTTACATATGTGGATCAATCTAGAATATGTGTCATTTGGATTCAGAGTGTGATCACTAAATTAGTCCACCGATTGGTTTGGCACCTGCCCTAAGCTGGGTAGCCTAGAGAGAACATGAAAGTGCCAGAAAGAAGCTACAGTTGTTGCTTGGTTGCTGCTTACTGCCTTCTTCCTACCCGTTTTTACCATGGACTCTTTCCCCTCTGTTGTGCCACCTTGTCTTGAAACCTGCCAACTATTAACTGAAACCTCTATGAAATATAAGCTACATAAAACTTTCTTCTCTTAACTTGTGAGTTTTGGGTATTTTGTTTAGCAATGAGAAAAGAAACTAAGATTCTCACATGCTCTTGTGCTCTCAGATTATATATAATTGCATGTATATAATTATAAATCATCATATCATATCTGTGGAAACTATCTCATTGGCAAACTCTGATGTAGAAATAATATTGAAATTTATTCATACAATGAATCTACTGTTTTCATACTGGTTTCAGTTGTATGACGTAAAATAAAAACAAGTTGATGAAATCATTTGCAAAACACTATTCATTTATTTTTCTGGATATTGGAATAAATCCATTAAAAGAACATTCCCTGTCCTATAGGAGTTTATATTTAACAAAGTCAGTATATGTTTTCTATAAAGAGCCATAAGTAAATATCTCAATTTTGCATTTCTGCACGACCTTTGTATCCCCCAAAAAGTAATGGATAATACATGTCTGAGGATGGCTCTTGTTGGCAAAATTTTGTTTGCAAAAATAACAGTTTACTCAGCCAGAGTCAGACTATGAGATATAATTTGGCAATCTCAGTTATAGCATAGTATTTTACCATATACTAGAATACCACAAGTCATAAAGAAATAGAGAGGGACAAGTTTAGAGGAATGGAGAAAATTGAGTAGCTTACAAATACACAGGACTTCAGATTGGCCACGCTTCAATAGTGAAGTGGGAAAAGGAGGAAGAGTAGAGTGAAGAGGTAATCAGTTTTCACTGCGTAAAACTTTAGGTCTTCTTATGTTTATGCACAGGTGTTTGTTTTCCTTTGGGAGAAACAGTGAACTTTCATTCATAATTGCCTATAGAAATGATTATGCATAGTTTATTCATAATTTTATTGTAACAATTATACCTACTTACAATTCTGAGTATGTAAATTAAATGTTATATATAAATAATTTAGTGCAATAACTAGCAAATATAAAGTTTGAATTAAAATAAAATGCTATTAATATGGATGCTATTGTTTTTATAATAATCGCTAATATACTGAGTATAAAAACTAAATCAGGTGACAGCAAGAGTAAAAAGAAAGAGGCAGATAGGTGATGATCAGGAAAACTATTTTATTTTTTTCTTTCCCTTTACCACTAGCTCCAATGGGAAGATGTTCTCAAAAATGGCATAACAATTTCCCATCTCTTATTTGTGCATATTTGGAACATAGCTTTGAGTTTCTTTCTATGGACGGCCTACAACTATGGATTGGATTTATGAACTGCCAGGTTTAACAGAAAATAACAAAAGAAAAATGCCGGTTGTGAGCTGGGCTTCAAAACCATGTGTATAGCTCTACTGAACTCCAAGCAGAAATTATAGACATATCACCTCTCCTTGGTTCCAGATGAGTGCACACCTATTACTGGCATGTGAGTGAGACTTTCATAAAGACTCACCACTGGCATGTCTGGTAACACATGAACAAACCCAGGTCACTTATATTATTTAGTAAATCTATCAATAGATTTGCAAAAATCATGGCTAACTGTTGGAAGCACCTGAAGCTGAAAATTGGTTATGAGTGTGGGGGCAAGTCAAGGCCACAGTGCCCTAAAGCAGTCAAGCTATCTCAGTCTTGAAAAAAAACATCCTGCCTAGACAATTTCAGTCATTAGTCAATAGGCAACCTTGTGTCTCCTGATACAAACTTTGCAAAAGTATAAATAAACCCCCCTAAAGTGCTTGTGCAGTCCTCCTTCCCATTCAGTCAGAGACCTTCACCTGACCTCAGCTCTTATCTCTTGTCTTTATTTTCTAAATCCCCTTGCCATTTTCTCCTGGGGGCCACCAATATACCAATGAGTCCCAACAGCTACCATTTTAAACTACTGAGTTTTGAAATGGTTTGTCTGTACCAAAGAAAAACAGGTAAAGCCCATGTGCACTTTGTGGATTTCTTGAAAATGAGGAGTAAAAATTGGACTTGAAGGAATTAAGGAATAGGGAATAGTTTGGATTTTAAAAAAAGAAAGAAAAAAAGATGCCAGAGCACCTCAGTTATATCTCATAAGATACAAGATATGCAGACAAGAAAGACCTGTGCAATTGAAAGCAACAAACAAACAAACAGAGAAACAAACAAACAAAAACCACTTGGAAACTAGTGATTTTTTTCAATGCTTTTCATGAAATTGAGAGAAAAAAATGATGCATTGTTATTTTCATGTAAAATAAATGGGTTTTGCATAAAGCAATTTATTAATATATCTTGAATTAACTTCCTTAATAACTTCAATGTATGTTTTCATAATTTTGGTACCCCTTAAGTATAAAATTCATATATTCTCATGAGATTTACATAAGGAAGATTAAGTCATCCAGCAACAATTTGAGAAATTAATTATCTTACAGTGATCCATGAAAAGGATCATAATTAGTTTTCATGTATTGACTTATTCTTCAGGGTTCTGTGTTTGCTCAGAAGGGTCTCTGGATATAATGATTTAAAAATGTAAAAGTTTGGTGATGATCCTGAGGAAGTGTTCATGTTCCTAAGACAGCAATAATAACAGCAATTGCACTGTTTCTCAAAATTTCCCTGGATAGGAATTCAGGAAGGAGTGAGCAGTCTTGACATGAAGTCTCTCTCAAGATTGCCTTCAGGCAATATGAAAAGTTGAGACAGGAGTGTCTGGAACATCTGTAATTTCACCAGGTAGCACAGCGCCTCTCTGACTCTATTTTTGCTTTCTCTCTTCAAAGTCTGCATCTACTCTATGTTATCTTTCCCCATGATCTAGCTTAGGCTTCCTCATATGATGTATGGGGTTATTAGTGTTTCTCCCATCACAACAAACATAAAAGATCAGATCCCCCAAATCTGTGTCTGAGCAAATGAAGCAGACACTCTACTGCTACTTATGATCTAGTCTTGGAAGTCATGCAACACCACTTCTACCATATCTTACATGTTAAAACATGTGGTAGATCAACAGACTCAAGTGTTGGAGAATACAGTCTACCCATGGTGGAAATGGCAATGTCTTCACAATGCAGAAATGCACATGCGAATGAAGTTATTTTGCAGTCTTCTCTGGAAACAATTGTTTACCACGGGAAGCAGCACATTAGTCTAAATGATATAAATAAATGTCCCCTTCCCTCTGATTAGCTGAAGCAGGAATTACTTCCTCAACAGGTGCACTCAAGGCAATTGATATTTGAAAATCTCATATATTACTTTCCTAAAGTATTTTTTTTCAATGCTAATATTATAGCATCAGGTGAAAAATAGCTAATCCAAGTCTTATTTCAGTATTAATTTGGCATTAGAAAATTATAAAACCAGTCAAATCGTTTATGAGTGTCTTAGTGAAAGAACATTAAATGCAAAGAAGACTGTAGATTTTTTATTCCAAAAATTACATCAGTATTTTTAAATATATCACTTATTGCAATTAATTATAAAAAGATATTTTCTACTTGTATGGTGGATATTAAAATTGCTCTACATATTTAAACCAATATTGTTCCCCACCACAAAAAATACTTGAATACAACAGTCCTTTTTATGGAATCTAAAACCTATGAAAAATATGAACAAGTTAAAATGGTCAATTTAGTGTGGTTTTGTTGATGTTGCCAATTACAGAATTCCCTATAAAGCAGTAAAATGAAGTATATCTTTGCAGTGAACAGTTTAAAAAGTACACATTATTTTGTTTCAGGTAAGATAACACTATTATTATATAGAGAAACGTATGATTACAAAACTATACTTATCTTCACATACATGCTACATTCTGATTGTGCAGATTTTAATAATTATTTAATAGAAATATCCTGGCACTGTTATTTCATATCACTAAATACCAGTGCAGTTTCCTGTGTTTCTCAGAAAGTAAGCATGGCCATTACACATGTACAGGCCTTATAGTAAAAGTTTATTGTGAAATGTTATAGATTATTTGCAAATCAAAATTAAGAAAAATACATAAAAATAAATAAATAAAATAAAATTTTAAACAAATAATACAAGCATATATTTAACCAACTCTTCATCTAACTCTACTTGAACATCTATTGTTACCAGGAAAAAGGTTCTACAAAGGCCTTTCTTTCACAGTTTTTGTCTTTATTATTATTATTCATCTGTCTTGGTTACTTTTCTTTCATTGCTGAGACAAAATACCAAACGCCAAAAATGAAGGAAGGAAAGGTTTATTGAGCTCACACTTTGTGAAAGTTTCAGTCCACACTTGGCTCGCTCCAAGGCAGAGTGGCACATGGCAGAAGGCAACAGTGCATGGCAGTGGAACACAGCAAAAGCAACAAGAGCAAAAGTGAGGAACGGAGGAAAGAGCAAACCTCTGTCCCTAATATATGCAATCTATCTGCCCCAAGGCAGGTATAGCACTCACACCCAATCAATCAAAACTCTAAAAGCCCACCCCATGACTGCTTGAGGATTTGGGGGGACATGCAGACACAAACCATAACAGCATCCATCCCAAACACCAGGAGCAGCAGTAGTGTTTGTATTATGTGTGTATCATTGAAAGCTCTAAACTGTTCATTATCCCTGAGCTAGAGTTAGGTCTTTGACATAGAGGACTATGGAAGCAAGTGATTTGAGCTCCAGCACCAAATCTCTTTGCCCCATCTCTGATCACAGCTCAGCTGTGTGTAAAGTACTGAGTCAGCATGGCAGCATTACCAAGCTGAAATACCTCTGTGAGTTTTCTAAATGAGTCTCAGGTCTTTCCCGGGGTTTCAAACACTGTAAACCCTAGTGATCCTGGTGAAAGTTCATCTCAGCTACATGGAAGACAGAGCTCCATTACTCATTTGGGAGAAAATTTTCTAGCCTTTAATCCTTCAATTGGATGCTTGGTGATGGGGGAAGAGTCCCTTCTTTAAAAAAGGCACTATCAGTTAAGCCCCTGGGATTTATTTTTGAAATAAACTGCCCACCTCTACATCCTGTTGTCATATACCCTTCTAAGAGTAACTTAAATTAAAATGATAGCCTTCTAAATTACACATATTTACTTGGAAAATAAGCATTTGACAACAGTTTTTCAAATTCCATGTGATATCTGTACTTCTTGTGATGCACTGCCCTGGACAAGGTGGAGATCCTAAACATGCATAAGATGTAGAGAAAGAGACACTGAACACATGCTCTAGCACACTGCAATCAATATTTTCTTAAAAGAGTTTCCCTTTGTTCTCTTAATAAAGAAATGGGGGGCTGGGGATTTAGCTCAGCGGCAAAGCGCCTGCCTGGCAAGCGCAAGGTCGTGAGTTCGGTTCCCGGTACCGGAGAAAAACCAAAAAAAAAAAAAGAAATGGATGAAAGAAGATTGACACAGCAAATCTGAGGTTTTCTTTGATCCTATTATTTAATATACTGATCTTGAATAAGTCCACTGTCAGCATACACATATAAACAGGCATTGCCTGTTGGTCAAATGGAAAAATAAATTTCTCCCTGAAGTCCAAATTTATCTATCCATTCTTCTCATAGATTAATGACTTACTCATTTCTAGATACTGAATGCTTTTAAACTTAAAATATTAATCCTAATATTAATTGCTATATGCAACTGAAATGTATATGCAATTTTCTTCACATCAGAATATTATCAACTATACTGCACTCATAATTTATGTGATCTAAATAAACTAGTTTTAGAAATACAAATGTAGCTGACCTAGTGGCATGAGTCTATAATCCCACATTTATCAGGGCCATTATAAGCTTGAACCCAGCCTGGAAAACACAGCAAAGCCTCATTTCAATATAACAAATAAAAAATAAATGGTTAGGGAAATAGTTCATGCAAAAGCCACAAAAATTGCAATATAAATCTTAGAGATATTTCATTAATATATTTGTTTAAAAATAAATCCCTAAAAAGAGCAATTTATAAGGCCTCAAAAAATTAGTATAGTGCATATATAGTTAAAATTTAGCTCAATACAAAGAAATGCACTGGGAAGAAGATGAATGTGTTTACACATATATCATGGGTTAAAAATTAACAAATTTTTATTGACAGAAGATGAGTAGGCAGTGAGACCAATTAAAGAAAGTTTTAATGAGACTAATTGAGTTCATACCTTTGCATAAGAACTATATTTCAAGAGAAGCTTTTCCTCCAAGGACTGTAGGTATATTTTTCCATAATAAGTATCACTGAAATGTTTCCAAATGAATTTTTATTGTTAGGAATTAACTTTCTCACATTTTTAACCATTTTCTTACTGTTAAAACCGCGAAATAATTTGTTGGTTTAAAAGTGAACAACGTGATTTGTCAAAAATGAAATTCTAAATGAATAACAGTGGATGTAGTTGGCAAATTCCAAAAAATTTGAAAATCTTACTACAGTAAGCATATGTTGGACTGGTAATGATAATTGTGCTTTGCTAAGGAACCATGCATCGAGCTGTTATTATAGAATCATAACATATGATTAGAACGTATAAGCTTCTTTGGCACCTCAGAAAATAAATGGCCTCATTAAACTATATTATAAAATGAGTGTATTAAGACATACTACTCATGGAATGTTGAATGCTGACTCTACCATTTGCTGGGAATAAAAAGTACAAGAGGCACATTGTTATAGTCTAGGAGGACAATGCAAATACAATAATGGGAAAAATTACTGGTCGAAATGTCATCACTGGTAGAAGTACTAGATAATACAGATCTGCATAACAGAGACCTTGATCATCATCGTCTCATATGCTCAATATTATTAAATACTCTAAGCAATCATTAGAAATATAATCATGATATTATGCCAACAAATAATTCAAATAAGACCCATTTGTAAACAAAAAGGAAATTATATCAATGACCAAAATTATTCAATACAATAAATACATTATCTTCAAGTCTCATTATAGTTTATTTATAATACTTGAAAATATCTAAAAATACTAAACAATCTAATTTTGATATTACAATCTTTTCCTAAAAATCATTTTACTGAATTTTCTGAGTAAAAATTATCTGCTCTTACCCGGTCTCTGCCAAATATTTTAAATAGATGAACCACTAAAATGACATGAATATCATAAACCATGATTATGGCACATACTGTTTACAAATAACATTTTAAAAATCAAATGCCTGCATATTTAATCATTAGGGCTTTGGCAAAATCAAAAATGTGAATTAAAAATTCAGTCAATCTCTAAATTTAAAGTTATAGAGATCAAGTAATACACAAAACAAGGAAAAAAAATCAGTGTTCAAATTCACAGCATAATAATGCTGCTTTTTCTCACCTAAATATAGGCAAATAAACAGATAAAAACTCTAAACCTGAAAAGCAAAGCAAATAAAACCAGAGGAAAAATATTGTGTTGTCATTAACCAATATTTTTAAATGGTATTATAAGGGTCCTAAAGACAAGATGTTAAGCTTAATAGGTTGGAGAACTATAATTATTCTTATGTTTTATACACATGCTGTTCTATTTATAGACAATGCAAATGTTTTTGTAATTGAGAAAAAGAAGAGGAACAAGGGGGCAATTGATAACTAAAACAACCAAAGGATCACTCACAGAGATAAAATATATCTCTGTGTTTATTTTTGAATCTCTAACATACTTTAATTATTTGGTGAGCATAAATTACAGATCACACTTCATTAACTAACATTAGTATGTAATGAGTGACCAGTTAGATTTATTTTTCTCAAAAATATTCATTGAGGGGCTGGAGATTTAGCTCAGTGGCAAAGAGCCTGCCTGGCAAGCGCAAGGTCATGAGTTCCGTTCCCGGTACCGGAGGAAAAAAAAAAAAAAAAAAAAAAAAATTCATTGATATATAGGAAAGTAAAAATAATACTGAAAAACTGCTTTGTTACATAAAAAATCAGTGTGGGAGGATGGCAGTTTTTCTTCTTTTCCCCTCTTGGATATTGAGTTAATAACTTGAAAATATAGAATATTATTTTCTTGAAACTTTTCTCCTGTACTTTTGTCACTGCTGAGCAGAACTCCTTTGAAAGCCACAGGAGGGTCAAGTACAGCAGAGATACAAGAGCATGCAGTAAGAAGAAAATTTCCTGCATTCATTTTCATGTGATTAAACATTAAAAGCTGATGTGAGACTCTCATGGTAGAAGGTATAGTACAAGCAAAATGTTTTGGTTCAGAGGTGTTTGATGTGGAAATTAGATAAATTGAGAAACTTCGTTAGCTATGTCCTTGGAGATTAGTGTGTCTGATTTTCAATTAGTCCACCTATGTTTACTAAGCATTTACTACATATCTTATACTGGGCCAGGCACTTGGGATAAAAACAATTAAGACCTAGTTGTCTTCAAAGAGTAGTCAGCAAAAAGATTGCTGCAAAATTCCTTTCTTCCACCCAGGAGAAGCCCCTCCCATCCCTAGTCTTTGCTGAAAATGGAGGAGTCACTGTTGGGTTCCTTTACTGCTACTGAGTGCCCATCTGTAGGACTCAAGGTGGCTTTTCTTGGCTTTTATGGTTGAACTGACGCTAGGGGGGCCACTTTTCCCAAAAACAAAGACCACAAAGTGGCAGCAAGAAATGTCTGGGAGCAGAGTTTCTTTTTCTGCTCATCCTCTTTGCCCTTTATACAACTGGCCCAAACAAACAGATGTAACCATGCTTCACATCTCCCTGTGGGACCACCTTGGGGTGGATGCTGAGACTCTGAAATTACAGATGGACATAGACTTATTTTCTTGGCTATTTTTCTCTTGTTGCTGGGACAAAATCCTTGACACCCAAAATTAAGAAAGGAAAGGTTTATTTCACTTATAGTTGTGGAGCTTTCAGTCCATGCTTGGCAGGTTACAAGGCAGAGTGGCACATGGCAGAGGGCTACAGCTCATGGCAGCAGAACACAGCCAAAGCAACAAGCACACATAAGAGAGGAATGGCCGCAAGCAGCCTCTTCCTCTCCCTTACATATGCAAACTGTCCATCCCAGGGTGGGTGTAGCTCTCACACCCAAAATTAATCAAACTCTAAAGGCCTGCCCCATGACCACATGAGGCTTTGGGGGAACACAGACACAAACCATAACATTCCACCCCTGGCCCCCCAAAGACTCATGTCCATCCCTTTATACAAACAGGATTTAGTCCATCTGCAAGAGTTGCCAAAGTCCTAACAGCTGCAGCACTGCTGAAAAGTCCAAGTCCCAAGTCTCCTCCGAGATATAAGACAAACTCTTAGCTGTGAGCCCCAACACAAATGAAGAGTTAAACACTTCCAATATTCAATGGTACAAAATAAGCAGTACCATTCCAAAAGGTACAAACAGGGGGACACAGAGCATTGGGACCAAAGCAAGTCCAAAATCCAGCAGGGGTAACATTATGTCCTGTAGCTCCATGGCCAGCTTCTGAAGCAATCTGTGGCACATTGTGAGCTCCAAAGGGCTTGCATGAGTCCACCCTGTGGCACTTCTGGCAGTTACAGCTTCCATGGCTTCTCTCTTAGTCCCGCTTTGCTCTCTCCTTGCAGCTTTCCTTAGATGATCCATGGTCCTGGCTTTTCTAAACTTCTGAGGTCTCCAGTGCACCTTTTGCTTCACACTCCTAGCCTAACACATTGCCCTCTCAGGGGCATGCTGCCTGGCCTCCCAGGCCTTCTGAAATCTGGGTGGAAGCCTCTTTAACCTCAGAACTCTTGCATTCTCCATGCACCTAAAGGTAGGGCCACGTGGATGATGCCGGGGTCTGCTGTCACTTGGAGCAGTAGCCAAGATTTCCTCTTTCTTGGCCACAGGGGTAGAGTGCCTGGATCGCTGGGCACTCTGAATCCAATTCTGAGGAACAAATCTTCTATGCTGCCGCCATTCTGGAACTTGGTGCGGCCGCTGCTGCCATTCTGGAACATGGCACTCAGCAGCTTTCTTCTCAAGGCAAGGTCTTTTACCTTGCAGTTTTGAGGCTGCAAAGGGTGGAGACTTGCTGCTTCCTGCGATGCCCTCAGGCCATCTTTTCTATTCTCCTGTTCCTTCTCAGCAATAGAGATCTCCTCAGCCTTATCTTTGCAGTCCACAGCATTACTGGAGCTTCCTTTCTGGTCAAACTCACATTTTAAATCATCCTGCTGGGCTCTTTGTTCTTGATTCTCAATATGAATCTGGCTAAAAGCACCCAACAATAGCCATGCCACTTCCCCAATGTCTGACTGCCTTAAAATTTCTTCTGCCAGATTAACCAGTCTGCTGCCGCCCTTACTCTCAGTCTGAGGCAAAGTCTCTGGACATGAGCAAAATGCAGACAAACTTTGTGCCAAGCCATAACACACACTGTCTGGAGTCCAACAACCAGTGCAGTCCTTCCCAACAGAAACCTCCCAAACTCGGTCTTTACTGGTAGGATTTCTAACAGCCTTCTGGTCTTCTGAACTCTGACCAGAATCTCCCAGACAGAACAGCCGAAGGTGTTGCAGTGCTTCTTTTTCAGGAGACATCTCTGAACCTTTCTGAACACTTTCCACAAGTCATTTCCCAAGGCTCTTGAACCACAGGGTCAGGTATAGTCACAGCAACGACCCCACTCCTGGTACCAAATTCTGTCTTGGTTACTTTTCATTTGTTGGTGGGACAAAATACTTGATGCCCAAAATTAAGGAAAGGTTTATTTCGCTTACAGTTTGTGGAGGTTTCAGTCCATACTTGGCAGGTTACAAGGCAGAATGGCACGTGGCGGAAGGCTACAGCTCATGGTGGCAGAACACAGCTGAATCAACAAGCACACACAAGAGAGGAATGGCCTGAAGCAGCCTCTTCCTCTCTGTTACATATGCAAACTATCCACCCCAGGGTGGGTGTAGCTCTCACACCCATAATCAATCAAACTCTAAAAGCCTGCCCTGTGGCCACATGAAGCTTTGGGGGGACACACAGACATAAACTATAACATTTATGATGGTGTGATTGATATTTTTACTTTTACATTATGATGGTGCAAAAGCAACCCTCCTTCAGTGGAAAACAGCCTTGAGGTTTTGGTCTTTTTGAGACAGGGTCTTACTATGAAGTGCAGGCTGGCCACGAGCTCACTTTGTAGCCCAGGCTGGCCTCGAACTCCCAGTGATCCTCCTGTCTCAGTCTCCCAAGTGCTGGGATTACAGGTGTGCACCAACAAGCCAGGCTGGCTTGAGGTTTTGAATTTGTGTCTTCTCTGGACTACTGATTCACAGAAGGTAATCATCTTTCATGATGCGGTGGCAGCACTCAACTTCAGCTTTCAGTCAGCCATGAAATCTCAAGGGAAGGGAACTGAGATGCTCTGGAATGTGCTGCGCTGCACACATGGTGTTTTGCAGGTTTGTTCTGTTAAATGCACCTTTGAAGTAACATATTTTTATTAAGGATTTATCGGAACAGAAAATCCATTATAAGTAAAAAATCATCTGCATTTAATTATCCGTTGACAGCATTTCTTCAGTAAGTTACATGCATATAAATGCTCACAGCATGGTCTGCTTCAGAACAGCCAAACTCAAATGCAATGGATATTTTCAAAAGTTTAGGGAATTCTAATGTATAACCTATGTTCTGCACACTTTTGCCACACAGCACCAGTGAACATATTAACTTTAGCCTCAAAAAATTGGTTCAAAAATAATCAAGCAAAAAAATGACCATATTTGAACTTTGCTTAATTTTTGATATCATTTTTGAAACAAATGTTTAATCTACAATGTGGAAGGACAAAAGTTTGATTTTCTTTTTTTCCAAGGGTTGATCTCTACAAGATTTTGTGATTAGTCATCCCAAACACCACTGTATGGTCCGCTCCTGCTAAGGACAAAAGGAAACAGATTTTTATTAGAATTTTTATAGAATAAGCCCTCTAACCAAGTTAAAAATATGGCACTACATTTTACACATTTTAACTATTACCTTGTATTTAGAAAATGACTTACTCAGTTAGAGCTACTTAGCACTTCTTGGCTACTTGGTCTCAGAAGATAACATCCATAATATAAAATTTAAGCATAATTTAGTTGTAATTTTTATGTGTTTTGCTCCTATGTGTATAAATTGCAGATGATGAAAGGCAAACAAATAGAAATAGAGGCCTCTGCTGAAAGTAAGTCAGGTCATTTCTGAGTTTTTGAAAATTAATAATATGAAGTATAATACTTTTATATCTCTTATATGCTCAATCTATAAAATCCCTGTCTTGTTTGTGGGTTTAATTTTATGTTTTTAAAGTTTCTCCTTCACTTTGCAACTATATGACAGAAGGTCAGGGTATATTTCATGAAAAATAGAGAATGGCTGTGGAACTTATATTGGATGAAGAAGCACAGATCACATGTGAATCACAGTGGGGCTGAAAAATGTGAGTCCTTCAGCAGATCACCTTTACCCAACTGTAAAATGAAAATGTTCTAAATACTATCAGGTTCTTTAAAATTGCACCTGTTGCCATTTTACAGCATTTTATGATCTCTCATCCCCAGAGAGCTGAACTACTTTTTTTTATACTGGAGACAACAAACAGAGTGAGATAGGTTAGGATGGTGAGAATGGTATGTCTTATTTGAGCATATAATGCCAGCTGCAGAACTGAGTAATGACAGAAGCAGACTAGAGAACCAACACGAGGCTGCATGACATAGTGGCTGCCTTGTCTGGACTCCTGGGTGACAAATTATTTGAGACTTTCTGAGAAGGACAGGAGGTTGTCAGGACAATCTATGAGGGGACGAAAAAGTGGAACATTGATTTACTTGTTCTTAAGGGGCAGGGACTCAATGGATCTTGAACACCCCAAACCACTTGTGCTTGCATCTGTTAGCAGCCACCAGATCATTGTGATACTTTGCGTTCCTTATGGTGACAGCTAAGTAATTTTCCCACGATTTGTTTGTACAACACAAAATGTACTTTAGGAAATAAGCTGGATCTTGAATTTAAGTGTGGTATTTTCAAGATGAGCAAATGTGATAGTAAAAATGGCTAGAATGAATAATGTGCAATATTGCAAGTAATCTGTACAGTGCATAAGCAATATTTTAAATACAAAGACTAATCGAAATATGTGGTGAATGTTCAAATTAAAAATATACTATAGTAAAAGAC